GGAGATCGGAGGTGCCCATACTGCTCCTCCTCCTCCTTCTCCCCCTCCTCCTCCTCCTCCTCCTCCTCCTCCTCCTCCTCCTCCTCCTCCTCCTCCTCCCCCTCCTCCTCCTCCTCCTCCTCCTCCTCCTCATCCTCCTCCTCCCCCTCCTCCTCCCCCTCCTCCTCCTCCTCCTTATCCTCGTGCCCTTGAGTCGCTACGACCGGACGTGGCTCGGAGAACGGGTCAAGATCGTGCGCCCAGGATGGGGTCTTCGGACCCGCTCGGAGGGGAGGCGCGCGAACGAGGCGGGGGAGAGAAGGATGGAGGAGTAGGACGCGGGACGAGAGGGGGGGGATGTGGAGAAAGAGGAGGATTTGATTGGATTGCCATGAGCGCGAAAGAGGCGGGGGAGAAAGGAAGGAATCAAGGAGAGAAGGATGGAGGAGGAGAAGGACGCGGGACGAGAGGGGGGGGATGTGGAGATAGAGGAGGATTTGATTGGATTGCCATGCTCCCACTGAGCTGGCCGCGGGAGCGTCGGACGCAGCTTCCATTCTCCGCAGGGAGCCACGACCCGGAGAGGCTTCGGAGGCGACCTTGCTGCGACGGCTCTGGAAGGCTGTCCGCCAGCGCTGAAGGGGAAGCTGCGATGGATGCGCAGGCGGTGCTCTTCGGGAGGCCCGTGCGAGTTCTTGGGGCGACTCTGGACCCCCTCCCAGGCGCGCGGTACGAAAGGCGCCACCAGGCGGGTCCAGCGCTGTCCCAGAAGATCCGCGCGGGTATCCAGAGGCGATTGCCTGGGGCTCGTCCGATCCCACCTGCGCTGCCTGGTCGACGCACGCCGTGGGTGCGGGACGGTGACAGGAAGGGGGAGAGGGAGCTACCCCACGAGGACAGGAGGAGGGAGGAGGAGAGGGAAGGGGAAAAGGAAGACGGAGGAGGACCCTGCCCGACCCGACCGGGCTCCCGGGAGAGACCGTCAGGGCCCTCGGCCGCCCAGGAACGACCCATCTCCTCCTCGACGCGGAACGCCAGCAGCGCCGCCCCTGCGCGCCCCACGCCAGCTGGGCCTGCAGACGGGGCCGCCTCGGCCGCCGCCTCCGCAGAGCAGGGGCCTGGGCCCCCGCGGACCTCCCAGAAGGCTTTCCCGGGCGGCTCCGTGCGGGAGCAGACCGAGCCCGTGGGCCGTGGGGAGAGCGCGGGGCTCCGTGCCGTGCGCCGGGAGAGGAGCCGCCGGCGACGAGGCCGGGCCCTCGCGGCCCGCCCCGGGAGCGCTGCCCTTGCAGAACTTCGAAGGTCAGCCTCCCCCCCCCCCGTGGGAGCCTGGCCGAGATCGGGCCGAGGGGCGGGCCCCAGGGGCTGAGGCCTGGGAGCGGCCTCGAGTGAAGGCCAGCTCGTCGCCGCAGTTCGGCCTCGCAGCAGTCCTTCACAAGTGTGGTGGGCCTGTTTTCCACCACCGCCACCACCATAAGTTGGAGGGGGAGGGGGTCCTCCTCCTCCTCCTCCCCCTCCTCTTCCTCCTCCTCCTCCTCCTCTTCGTCGTCGTCCTCCTCCTCCTCCTCCTCCTCCTCCTGTTCCACCTCCAACTTATGGTGGTGGTGGTGGAAAACAGGCACATCACAGTGCGCTCGCGAGTGCAGCTCGTACTGGTGCACGGGCTGTCCACCGCGAGCCTCCCACCAAAGCGGGCCGGCGTGAGATGGACCCAGCGCCAAGCAGAGCGAGGAGCGCTGTGCCCGGAGGCTTCCCTCCTCCTCCTCCTCCTCCTCCTCCTCCTCCTCCTCCTCCTCCTCCTCAAGCAATCCAGGCCCAGGCTTCCCTTGCCCCGGGCCGGCTCCAGGACCTCCGCGCGGTGCTTGGGGGATCTCGTCGCAGCTGTCGCATGTTCGGCCGCCTTTGACGTTAACAAACACTGGAGTTTCAAACGGTGCTACGGGATGGGTGCCGGAGAGTGGCGCCCAAGGCTCACCCCGAAGGAGCGCAAGGCCCGGCGGGCGTGGGCACAGTGGTCGGCTGAGCGAGCCATCCACCGCCTAACCCGCGAGGTGGAGCAGCTCCGCAAGATGCAGTATATGGACCCCAACGTCGTCAGCTACAGCGTTGGGAGCAGCGAGCGGGAGCAATATGGACAGTGGGAGCATCCACAGGACACGGCAGGAACGTGGGGGTCAGAACGGCAGTGGCAGCAGCGAGCAGAGCCGGAGGCGAAGCTCGAGTCCAATGCCATCAGCTACAACGACGAGGCTGTGTCGCGTGACGGGAAGGTCGAGCCCGACGTCATTAGCTACAGACCAGAGGACGGTGCATGCGAGAAGTCTTGGATGGCGGCAGTGGCAGCGACGAAGCACGCGCCCAATGTCATCAGCTACAACGACGGTGCATGCGAGAAGTCTTGGATGGTGGCAGTGGCGGGGCCGATGTTCGAGTCCAGCGCCATCAGCTACAACGACAAGGCTGTGTCGCATGACGGGAAGGTCAAGCCCGACGTCATCAGCTACAGACCTGAGGGCGGTGCATGCGAGAACCCCTGGATGGCGGCAGTGGCGGAAACGAAACACGAGCCCAACGCCATCAGCTACAACGACGGGTTTGCGCCGCGCGACGCCAAGGTCGAGCCCGACGTCATCAGCTACAGACCCGAGGGCGGTGCATGCGAGAAGTCTTGGATGGTGGCAGTGGCGGAGATGAAACACCAGCCCAATGCCATCAGCTACAGCGACGGTGCATGCGAGAAGACTTGGACGGCGGCAGTGGCGGAGACGAAGCACGAGTCCAATGCCATCAGCTACAACGGCGAGGCTGTGTCGCGTGACGGGAAAGTCGAGCCCGCCGACATTAGCCACAGACCCGAGGACGGTGCATGCGAGAAGTCTTGGATGGCGGCAGTGGCGGAGACGAAGAACCAGTCCAATGCCATCAGCTACAACGACGGTGCATGCGAGAAGTCTTGGACGGTGGCAGTGGCGGGGCCGAATTTCGAGTCCAATGCCATCAGCTACAACGAGGCTGTGTCGCGTGACGGGAAGGTCGAGCCCGACGTCATTAGCTACAGACCAGAGGACGGTGCATGCGAGATGTCTTGGATGACGGCAGTAGTAGTGACGAAGCACGAGCCCAATGCCATCAGCTACAACGACAAGGCTGTGTCGCATGACGGGAAGGTCGAGCCCGACGTCATTAGCTACAGACCAGAGGACGGTGCATGCGAGAAGTCTTGGATGGTGGCAGTGGCAGAGACGAAGCACGAGCCCAACGCCATCAGCGTCAACGACGGGGATCGGACTCGCGGTGCGAAGGTCGAGCCCGACGTCGTCAGCTACAGAAAAAGAAAAATCACTGAGCCAGACGTGGAAGCGTTTCTCCGCGAGCGAGCTGCAGAACAGACGGAATTTGAAGATAAATGCATCACACGAGCCATGACACGGAAATCCCAGCCTTTCGTGCGACGCGTTGCACACCTGGCGGCCGCATCACAAGGCAGTAATGGGAGATGGATTCACACACAGGTTGGAGTCGGTCGTACTCAACGTTACGAATGGAAATGGGAGTCTACAAGTGGCAACACACCGACGAAGCAGGACGGCGGCAGTGAGGTTGGAGACCTTCTCTCAGCTCTCGGTGCAGCCATTTCCTCAGCGTCGACGCGTTGAACTACTCCCTGCTGTCGAAGGCCTTCTGAGTGGAAGGTGGAACCGCGCCGTGCGGTCGAGCGGAATATATCGCTACGCGATCAGGCAGAGACTCCAGAGACTCCTCCTCCTCCTCCTCCTCCTCCTCCTCCTCCTCCTCCTCCTCCTTCCCTCCCCGACCCATGCCTAGGCCTCCCAGATGGGGTCCGAGAAGGTGGGGCCGGAGGATCGCGCCGTATCGCCGATGCATCGGACGTGCGGCTCGATGTGGAGCCCGTGTTTCCCCACGCCGACGTCGCCGATGCATCGCCAATGCATCGCCGATGCATCGCCAATACATCGGCGATGCATTGGCGAGTCGGCGCGATCCTTCGACCCCATCTACTCGGACCCCATCTAGGAGGCCTCTACCATGGGCGCGCAGGAAGAATCCTGTAGATGTCCTCTTCTAGAGGTCGCCAAAAGCTGGCGCGCCGGAGGCAAGCTTGTACACGGCCCTAGCGCGACCAGGGCGCGACCAACCAGGTTCCGAAGGGGGCCAGCTTTGCACTTGAAAGCCCACTGCCAGAGCACGTTGCGCAAGTCGACCGACCACTCGGAGGGAGAACGAGGGGGTGAAGGGAAGAGGAGGAAGACAGGACGGAATCGCAATACAGTCAGGGCGCTGAAGAAGGAACCCTTCTCGTTGGGGAGGGGCTCGGTGTTCCTTGATTGTTTTACAGTTTGGCTTGGGCTTTCCTGAGGTTTTCGATGGGAAATCCAACCTTAACTTTTGGGATCAAGGGGCCTCGTTCCTTATTTAAGGTTCCTTAGGTCAACGCCCCGACTGTATCTTTGTCAGATTACGACTGTGTTTTTCACGCGGTGTGTCCGCGCGGTGCCATTCCATGGGGCATCCGGAGTTTCCGCGGGGAGTCGGAGGCCTGGGCCTTGGTCGTCCGGCTCCATCCCTCCGCTGTCCCCCCAGCGAGTAGTCCCCGTCCTCCCCCTCCTCGTTCTCCTCCTGCTGCCCCTCCCCCTCCTCCTCCTCCTCCTCCTCCTCCTCCTCCTCCTCCTCCTCCTTCCCTCCCCCCGTGCTCCTCCTCCTCCCTCTTCGTCCGCCTCCTCTCATCATCGTCGTCTTCACCCACAGCCATTTTGGCCCAACCACCTGCCAGCCGGGGTCGCGGAGCTTCTTCTCCACTCTGCGCCTCTAACCTTGCGCCTCGGCGTGGAGCATCCCCTGACCATAGGTGCATCATGGGCGGCTGCGGATCGAAGAGTGCCGGGGCCGCGAGCGATGCGAAGAACGGGGCTGCAAAGTCCTCCCCGCAGAATGAGAAGCAGGCCGCCAAGCTGGAGAACAAAGAGTACCAGAATCGGATGCAGTTCCTGACGCAGGTCCCCCTCATGAAGCGCCTGCCCAAGGACCCGGGCCGCTCGAGCAAGGCCCAGAGCAGATGAGGTCGGAGGGTCGCGTTTTTGTCGATGTTTCGGCGATGCGACGCGATCCAGAGCCTGCTTTTGTCCACCCCGACGTCGACGCCGCAGTGCCGATGCTTCGGCAATTCGGCCCGACCTGGAGCCTGATTCTCTCCACGCCGACGTCGCCGATGCGCTGGCGATGCAGCGCGGTCATCCGATCCCTCATCTGCTGCGGCTTGACTCGGGTGCTTCCCGAAGGACCAGCACCCGCTCGTTGCCGACGCGTGCCAGCCCGTGGAGTTCAAGGCGGGGGTGAGCATCATCAAGCAGGGCGACATCGGCGACGAGTTCTACGTCATCAAGACAGGCCCGAAGGGCGAACAGTTGCAGCTGCACTTATGGAGGACGATCAATGGAGAGGAAGCATGTTGCCGAATAATTTCCAGATGCCAAAACCATGTGTCAAACAAGTTTTAGACATATCAAACACACGTTCAAAACATGTTTAGAACAGGTTTCCGACATTTTAGACACGGTCTGAATTCAAGGATAAGACCGTCAGAGTGCCCACTGCCGTGGCATCCGCAGAGCTGCACGCGTGAAGGCGTTCAGCGCCCCGCGCGGAGCTCCGAGAAAAAGCTCCCTGCGCGCGTGCTCCTGCTCCGTGCCTCCGCAGGCGAGGCCAGCGTCTCGGTCAAGGGCGAGGACGGCGCCACGGCGAAGGTCGCCACGCTCAAGAGCGGGGACTACTTCGGGGAGAGGGCGCTGCTCGCGGACGAGCCCCGCGGGGCCACCATCACCACGGAGTCCGCGCTCACCGCGTACAAGATCTCCCGCGCGGCCTTCCAGAACCTGAACCTCCACAACAAGCTCCAGTTCGCGAACCGGAAGGCCTCAAACGTCGGGCCCGTCCCTCTGCGGGAGGACTATTTCACCGATAGGGGAGAACATCGTCTGGAGACGATTTGTCTGCGCATTTTTTGATCATTTGGGAGCATTTTGGGGGTATTTTGGGAGCATTCTCGTCCAAAATCCCTTTGGGGGTATGTTGGGAGCATTTTGGGGGTGTGTTGGGAGCATTTTTTGGGGAGCATTTTTGGGGGTATTTCTGCTTTTTCGTCCAAAAGCTCCCCCTGTAGAGGGACAGGCCCGGCCTGACGGAAGGCCGTGGGCGGCCAAGACAAGGACAAGGTGGAGGCGAAGGCGCCCTCCAAGAAGACGGACGCCGAGGTGACCCTGATCACCGAGGCCTGGAGGGCTCCCCCTCCTCCTTCTCCTCCTCCTCCTCCTTCTCCTCCTCCTCCTCCTCCTCCTCCTCCTCCCTCCTGATCACCGAGGCCCTGAAGAAGAACGATAACCGTCATCGTTATCGTTATCGTTATCGTTGTTATCGTTGTGGTCGTTGTTATCGTTATCGTTGTTGTCGTTGGTATCGTTATCGTTGTTATCGTTGTGATCGTTATCGTTATCGTTGTTATCGTTGTTATCGTTATCGTTGTTATCGTCGTTATCGTTGTTATCGTTGTTATCATTGTTATCGTTGTTACCGTTATCGTTGTGATCGTTATCGTTATCGTTGTTATCGTTGTTATCGTTGTTATCGTTGTCGTGATCACCGAGGCCCTGAAGAAGAACGAGAACCTCGCCACGATGACGACCCTCGACGACGCTCGCTGCAAGCAGGTCGTCGATAGGACCAGGGCCCACTCCGATCCGATCGGTGCGCTTCGGCTATGGGGGTCAGCTGGCCCGATGCGCTGCGAGGTCCGATCCTCGGGCGATCCGGGGCGGCCCGATGCTTGACTCGGCGGCGGGCCCAAGGGGGGCAATGAGAAGGAGCAGGCCTTCTCAGAAGGCCGCGGGACTTCTTAGAAGTCCGGGGGACTTCCGAGAGGTCTCCTTAGCCTATTTCGAATGCAGACTGAACTTCCCAGAAGCCCTCTCAGAAGTCCGGAAACTTCTCAGAAGCCTCGGAGGTCCCGCCCCTCCTCATTTCCCCCCCGCGCCCGCCGCCGATTGCCTGGCACCGTTGTGCGTACCAGCGCAGCCGATCCGATGAGCTTTCGATTCAGTGCCAGTGCAGCCCGATTCGATGCACGTTCAGGGTCGGCTGGCCCGGTGCGCTTCGAGGTCCGATCTTCGGGCGATCCGAGGCGGCCCGATGCCTGCCTGGCACCGCTGTGCGTACTCCAGATTTCGTAATAAAGGGAGGGGAGTCTCATTTCGGGGGGGGGGGTCTCTTCCAGGCTGTCTTGGAGGGCCTGGGGGGGTCTGGGGACGATGTTTTGGAGGGTTCTCCCACGGGGGGGGGTCTGAAATGGCTCGTCTTGGAGGGTCCAGACCCCCTCCCTTTTATTACGAAATCTGGAGTACCAGCGCAGCCGATCCGATGTTCTTTCGATTCAGTGCCAATGCAGCCCGATTCGATGCGCGTTCCGATCCGATCGGAGTTCCCGGTTCGGCGTTGGTTGTTCCTGACAGGATGTGGAAGGAAGAGATCGATGCAGGCCAAGAGATCATCAAGGAGGGCGACCTCAATGCGGACTACTTCTACGTGGTGCAGGATGGGAGCTTCGACATATACGTCTCCGCCGAGGCCTTTACCTCCTCCCCACCCTCCAGTTCCCGACGCTTCGCGAGTCCACAACAGCCCAGCCAGAAACGATTCTAGTGCGAGTTGTCGTGGGAGGAAAAGTAGAGGAGCGCTAGCATGACACAGAGGAGAGGAGGGGATATAAGTCAAACCAACAAATGGATCGGACCAGGCAGCCATCAGAACTAGCTCACCTGGGTCTCTGTGTGGGAGTCTCTTGCATGCCGCCCGGATCAAGTGTGCGGGTCTCTATAGGGATCTCTCGAGGCCTTCGGGGCCATGCTGGAGGCCTAGGCTCAGGAGGGAAAAAACACAAGCACAATGAATTGTCGATTCCCAGGAAACTATGCGAAAGTATGGGAAGTGGGGGGAAGACATAAACCCAGAAACTATGTGAAAATAATGGGAATCCTGAGATTTGTGTCTATTTATTTGTGTGTCCCAGGGCCCCTTGATAAACTGGGTCCTTGATTGGCATTGCCTTTTCGAGCCCGGAAGCTTGACCCGGAAACGCGATGGAAACCGTTCGGGCCCTCCTTGGCAATCCCAGGGGTCACCAACCAACAAAAGGGGGGAGCCACTCCAACAAGAGGGGGTAGCCACTACAGAAGAAGACGCCCCGAGGCCATCTTGGGGGTTCTCTCGGGCTGCGCTCTCTGGAGCCCTCTGGGGCCGCTCTTCGGCCTGGGCCTCGGGGCCATCGTAAGGCTCTCCGAGGCTCGCCGGGAGCCCGCCGAGGCATGCGAGCATCGACGAAGCACAGCTGTCGCAGGCCGAGAGGTTGACACCAACACCAAGATCGGCGGTGTGCCTCCACCAAGAGAAGACGATCCCGATCTCGGTGATGGTGGTAATATTCTGGCTTCCAAGGTGGCCGAAATATTGCCGACACCACCGAAATCTAGGATCATCTTCCCCCTGTGGAGGCAGCCCCCTGGGCTGGTGTTGGTGCCAATTTCCAGGCCTCCAAAGCTGCATGCCTGCAGACTTTCGAGGATCTGCGCTGATCTCTTGCGGAGCTGCCCCCGGACGGCCCCCGGGGCGGCGCCTCCCGGCGCCGCACGGAGCGAGGGCCCAGGCGCCGAGGCAGGAGCTCCGCGCGGAGCTCCGAAGGGTTCCGATGATCCAGCTTGCTTTTTGTCTGATGTTCTTGGCATCGCTCGGACGTGTGCATTTTTCCTTCCGCGAGGGCCATCCAAAAGCATCCTTGATCGCTTGGCGAAAAGGCCACGCACGAAACCGACAAAAACTCAGGGAATGGACGTCCGAGCGATGGCCAGCTGATGTTGCAGGCCGTCTTGGGCGTTCTCTGGCGCCGTTTTCGAGCCGCCCGTGGGAATCGTGGGCGCGCCAACCCTCCTGCGACCGTCTCGGTCCAGGCCCCTGGGATGAAGTCGGGCACGTCCCCTTGCAGGGGGAATGCTCAGAAGTAGTCAAGAAATAGTCAGGGAACGATTTTTTGATTATTTTTGACTATTTTAGGGTGTTCTTTGTGAGTGTTTTTAATTGTTCGTCACAAGTCGGCCTGTAGGGGGACAGGCCCGGCTTAATCCTGGGAGCGGATTCCCCATTCTGCTGCGGGCTTGCCCCTTCCAGCAGCGCCTGAAGTCGCGGAGTCGGTGGCCAAGGGTCGCGCCTTCGACTGGGCAAGGCCAGACAAGTGTGGGCAGCGCTTCTGCCCATATTCACTGCTGCTTGGAGTTTCGGGCTGCCTTCCCCAGAAACCCGAGGCGCACTGGAGCTGGATAGAACTTTGGCCCCTAGAGGACCGATGTTGATCCGCATCTGGTGCGCCTCGGCCTTGCGGCACCCCCATCCCAGAAAGTCCAAGACGCACCGGATAGGGATGTAAATCTTGCCCGCATTTGGGCCTCTCGGGGCTACCTCTGGGAGTACGTCTGGGCCACTTCAGAGCCATCCGGAGCAGTCTGGGTACCGTCCAGGACTCCATGTCCATATCCAGTGCATCTTGGACTATCTTGGAAGGGGCGCTGCAATGCCGAGGCGCGCTGGATGGGGATAAACATTTGGCCTCTTTGGGTACATTTTTTTCAGGAGGGGAAAAACACGCACAGACACAATTAATCGTCGACTCCCAGGAAAATATAGGAAAATATGGCAAGTGGGGGGAAGACACAAACCCAGAAAATATGCGAACATATGGGGGATCTTTTTATTAGTGAGTATTTTTTTGTGTGTCCCAGGTCCCCTTCAATTTGGCCTCTATGGGTACACTTTTTATCCAGATGCAGTGCGCCTCGGGTTTCTGTGGAAGGAAGCCCAGAACTGCAAGCTGCAGTGGATATGGACACAAGTCTTGCCCGCACCAGATTTCGAAATTCCGTATGGGTTATGATGCGTGTTTTCATCTCGCCTTTTGTGGTGTCGATTGGATTTCGCAGGACACAGGATGGCAGCAAGCGGTTTGAGGCCCCAAGAGGGGCCCAGAAGGGTCCCCAGAGCTGCGAGGGATCCAATCGCCCTTCCCAACTCTCACATCTAAGACGCATCGCCAATCCCTCAAATCCAAGGTCTGGCCCGAAATAACATTACGCATATGCTTAAATCAGACCCAGGAGAGTCCCAGCGGCTGCAGGCGGCGCCGAGAGGACACCAACAGGCCTCAAAGCCACCACAGAAGAGCTTCGAGAGGGCCCCAAGAGACCCCACTCGTGCACCCTCAAACACGAGGCTCCACCTCATGTAAGGATTCTCCTCAGAGATGTGTCCTTCTCTCCGTGGTTCGCCAGGGGCGGCCACAACGCCAGATTGCCCGCCACCTCCAGTCTACAGGCGAGGGTGAAGTGTTGAGGCCTCGTGGCACTCCTCTTCCCACTCGCATGGTGACGGGCGACGATCGACGACGACGACCTGCCCCTTCAGGGAGAGGACGACATGCAGCCCACGAAGCCGCCCGCGGAGACCGCTGGAGATCCCAAGGTCGGGGGGATGCCGGCGCACGCGGCAGCCCATTCCCCCCTAGAAGAAGAACGAATTGCGTCGATATGAGACGTTCGGGGGCCCGCGCGAATGTCTTGGCCTGGCGCCGTGCCCTCCTCCTCCTCCTCCTCCTCCTCCTCCTCCTCCTCCGTCCTCCTCCTCCTCCTCCTCCGTCCTCCTCCTCCTCCCCCTCATCCCCCTCCTCCTCCTCCTCCTCCTCCTCCTCCTCCTCCTCCTCCTCCTCCCTCGTCCCCTGCCCAGCGCGCGGAGCGCGCAAATGGGCGGTGCTGGAGGCGTCGCCAGGGCGGGGGTCCTGCGCCGATGGCAAGAGGTCCGCGCGGTGCGCCGAAGGTTTCTCGTGACGCAGGGCGTTCTCCTTCCTCCTTGCTCGGGGGACCCCATCCCGCTCCCTCCTCCCCATCCTCATCTCTTCTTGTGCATCCTCATCTTCTTCTTCCTTTTCAGCTTCTTCTTATTCCTCTTCTTATTACTCTTATTATTGTTCTTCTTCTTCTTCTTAATATTCGTATTATTATTCTTATCCATATTATTATTCCGAATATTGTTATGATTATTATTCGTATTCTTCTTATCTTATTATTAATATTGTTATTATTATGATTATTATTATGGTGATGATTAGTTATTATTATTATTATCATTATTGTTATTAATATTATTATTCATATTATTATTATGATTCTTGGTATGATTATTATTACTATTATTATTACTAATATTATTGTTATTGTTATTATTATTATTATTATTCTGATTATTCTTCTTATTATTTTTATTATTATTAGTATTATTATTATTATGATTCATCTTCTTCATCTTCTTCATCTTCTTCGTCTTCTTCTTCTTCTTCATCCTCACCCCGCTCCCGGGAACCCCCCCAGGGGGCGGGGAGCAGCGGGCCACCGCCGCCTCGCGGTCCGCCCGTCCGTGGCCTGCCCCCCGCCCCCCCCCGCGCGGGCCGGGCCCGGCAGGGCCTGGGCCGCTTTGCCGCCGTCGCTTCTCCGTCCACTCCTCCTCCGCCCGCCGCCCTTCGCCCCTCCGCCTCCTCCTCGTCCTCCTCCGCCGCCTCCTCCTCGTGTTCCTCCTCCTCCTCCTCCTCCTCCTCCTCCTCCTCAGATGGCAAGGTTACCTTCTTCGCCGCCGCCCTCCGCCGCCCCCTCAGATGGCAAGGTCCCCTCCTCCTCCGCCCGCCGCCCTTCGCCCCTCCGCCTCCTCCTCGTCCTCCTCCGCCGCCTCCTCATCGTGTTCCTCCTCCTCCTCCTCCTCCTCCTCCTCCTCCTCCTCCTCAGATGGCAAGGTTACCTTCTTCGCCGCCGCCCTCCGCCGCCCCCTCAGATGGCAAGGTCCCCTCCTCCTCCGCCCGCCGCCCTTCGCCCCTCCGCCTCCTCCTCGTCCTCCTCCTCCGCCTCCTCCTCCTCCTCCTCCTCCTCCTCCTCGTGTTCCTCCTCATGCTCCTCCTCCTCCTGTTTCTCCTCTCCTCCCCTTCCTCCTCCTCCTCCTCCTCCTCCTCCTCCTCCTCCTCCTCAGATGGCAAGGTTACCTTCTTCGGGCGGGAGGGCCATGCAGCAGCCTGGCAGGAATGGCCAAGCAAGGAGCCGCTCTGAGCAGGCGGAGCTCAGCGGTTGTCCTGCTGGCTCGAGGAGTGCCTCTCCTGGCCAGGTGCGTGCTCAGGTACGTAGGCAGAGCGGAGGTACGCGGCTTTGTGGCAATTTTGACAGCGTGGGCGCCTGGTGATGAGGAGGGAGGGTGGTGGTCCGTGGTGTTCCGCTCCTTCTGCCCTCGTCGGGCCTCCTCGGCCCTCGCTTTTGGCTTTGGCCTCTGGAGGCCCTCCTTGGGTATTCTGTGCGCGGCCGCGGCGGGCCCGCCGCGCGCCGCCGACGCGGCAAAGACCGCAAGGGCTGCGCCTCCGCGCGGAGGCACAGAGTCGCGCTCGAAAGGCTCGAAAGGTGGTGGTGTTCACGTTCCCCCCCCCCCTCAGAGCCGCTCCACTTCCCCAGGGCTTTTTTCCAAGCCCCTCTCGCCTGAATGGGCCAGCAGGGCCAAGGACCCCGACCAGAGCCCCTGGCATGCTGCAGGTCACACTCTGCTGGAGTTTGAGGTGGCGGTGGATGGGCAGCCACCGATCCTTTGTTTCCCACCTGCGGTGGCTATGCCACGGTGGTGCAGGGTGCTCGGGGGCTCCGTAAGGCCTGTATTGGATTCCAGCATGCCCTCGTGGACCCTGGAAAGAAGAACACCATGGCGGTGACCAGGGGTAAGCATCCGAACAGACCTTCCAAGCTGGGCCCCTGGAGGACTCGGGCGAGGCTCGGGAGCTGGTTGGGGGTTTCGAGAAGGCCTTAGGGGCCCAGCAGAGAGGCAGTTTTTCAGGGCCCGTCTGGGGCCGAGTTTCTTCCGTTTGTCTTGCGGGCTGCTTCCAGGCTGTCGGGCTAAATGAGCCCGAAGCGATGACCCTTGAAGAGCGTCTGGACCGTCCCGATGCCGGGCGGCACGGGGACGAGTCAGACGGTTGAGTGGCCCAAAAGAGGAGCCCTGCCCTTGGCCCTTGGCAGGCGCGGCTGCCTGCCAGGGTAATAAAAAGATCCCCTCCGATGGCCCCCTTCTGGGCGTTTGTCGAACCTTCGAACCTCTCCCTCTCGCCATTTCCCCTCAGTGGCGTGCGAGCCTCCTCCTCCTCCTCTTCCTCCTCCTCCTCCTACTTCCCCTCCTCCTCCTCCTACTTCTCCTCCTCCTCCTCCTCCTCCACACTTCTCCTCCTCCTCCACCTCCCTCCTCCTCCTCCTCCTCCTCCTCCTCCTCCTCCTCTCCTCCTCCTCCTCCTCCTCCTCCTCCTCCTCCATCCTCCTCCATCCTCCTCCTTCCACCTCCTTCCTCCGCCCCCTGCGCCGTCTGACCGCTTCCCCCCTGTGGCGGGCCAGCGTCACTCGAGCGACGGCTGACGAACCTCCCCGCCCGTGCGGCTCCCGTGCGCTCCGTCCTGCCGGCTCTGCCTGCTGCCCTGCTGCTCGCCTGCTGCCGCGCCCTCCCCTCCTCTGGAGCGTCCAAGAGGGCGCTGGTGACTGGAGAGCGCTTTTTACAGTGGAGACCCATCGCAGCAAGCACCCTGCTTGCCTCCAGGGTGCCCTGGGTCCCTTGGGCTTCGATGGTCTTGCCATGGAAGGCGTGACGCGCCCGCATCAAACATCGATCGACGACCAGGGGTCTCAGGGTTGGGCTTCTTGGTGGTCGGGCCCCACCTTGTATCCCGTCGATGACGGGCGCGACCAAGGGGGAGGGAAGGAGAGGGGGGGGCGACGAGGGGGTAGGGAGCGGCACGCTTCGCGCCGGCGCCGACTGGGGAGTGACGAGGGGTCACCGAGAACAGCCTGGAGGTCAGCACGAGACGTTTACCCGGGTAGGTTCGAGGAATTTGGCATCGCTCGGACGTGTGCATTTTTCCTCCGGCGAAGGCCATCGAGGAGCATCCTTGACCGCTTGGCGAAGAAACCACGCACGAAACCGATCAAAAACACACAGGGAAGGGACGTCCGAGCGATGGCCAGCTGATGTTGCAGGCCGTCTTGGGCGTTCTCTGGCGCCGTTTTCGAGCTGCCCGTGGGAATCGTGGGCGCGCCAACCCTCCTGCGACCGTCTCGGTCCAGGCCCCTGGGATGAAGTCGGGCACGCCCCCCTGCAGGGGGAATGCTCAGAAGTAGTCAAGTGATAGTCAGGCGACGTCCGAGCGATGGCCAGGGAAGACCACACGGTGCGAGCAGAGATTCCGGCGCCCCGCGCGGCTTTCTTCTGGGCCCGACGCGGGGCCGCCGCCGGCGGCGCCTCCCGCGCGCCGCCCCTGGGCGCGTTGTGGAGGCCCCGGCGCAGCGCGGCTATCCAAGGAGCCCGTGCGGAGCTCAGACGTGTCTGCTTGTGCAGCTGTTGGTCCCTCCCCCCATGGATCATCAACATCATCATCATCATCATCATCATCATCATCATCATCAGCATCATCATCATCATCATCATCAAACATCATCATCGTCATCAAACATCATCATCGTCATCATCATCATAATCAACATCATCATCATCATCAAACATCATGATCATCATCATCATCATCATCATCATCACAATCATCATCATCATCATCATCATCATCATCATCATCATCATCAACATCAACATCAACATCAACATCAACATCAGCATCATCATCAACAACATCATCATCATCATTGGTTCCTTCCCCCATGGATACCCTCGCTGCTCGTTTCGGGGACCTTCCTGGAGCCCACATAACGGATCTGTTCGACCCCAGTTCGACTCAAGTTCGACTCAAGTTCGGCTCAGGTTCGACTCAGGTTCGACTCAGGTTCGACTCAGGGTCGACCTCAACTCGACTGACGTTCGACGAGTGGCTCCAGGAAGGTCCCCAGAACGAGCGTCCAAGATACCGTAGCCATGAGGCATCTACGGATTTTGTGGTCCCCTCCTCTTATCTCGACACGCCCCTTGCGCCTCCGTCATCCCCCCCCCCCCGGGCCGCGCACGTGCCTCGGAGGGCCATGCTCTGCGAAAGCCCCCTCTCGGGCGCCCCCCTCGTGGACGCTTCCGTCCCCTCCCCCCCCCTCTGCCACCCGTGGCTCCCGTGCCCGTTCTGCCGGCAGCCGGCCGCCGAGCCCTCCGGCCCACTGCGAGCGCGTGCCGCGCGCTGCGCGCAAGAAGGCCAGTTCAGCCGCTCGGCGACAGTCCGTTCCACAGCTGTGGTCGGCTACAGTCGGGGCCCTGAAGAAGGAGCCCTTTTCGTTGAGGAGGGGCTCATTGATTGTTCTGCAGTTTGCCTTTTGTTTTCCTCAGGTTTTCCATGGGAAATCGAATTTCAACTTATGGGAGAAAGGGGCCCCGTTCCATATTCAGGGTTCCTTAGGTCAACGCCCCGACTGTATCCACTGTCATCGAGAACGAAGGAGCCCCTTAGCCTAATAACGCGACGAAGAAGTGGCCTCACTGAGGTCGCCGTCTTTGTATGGTGGATCATAGATGTGGACGGCTTGGTTCGATACATCTGCAGAAGACCCCTTTATCCCTAATGTTTTTGGCCCTCCTAACGTCGGCACCCTCCCAAAGGGTTAGGGGCCCTTGTTTGGTTACTCACATTGCGCAGCGACACCGAGGGGGGGGATCGGGTTGGTGGGCGAGCAGTGACGGTATCCTGAAGGTGGTGGGCACGGTTGGCAAGGGCGGAAGCTTCGGAGAGTTGGCCTTGCTCTATTTCGTGCCGAGGGCAGCTACCGTGAAGGCGAAGACGAAGTCATCGGTCTGGGTGATCGATCGCGCGAGCTTCAAAGAGATCTTGATGAAAGTGTCGGACGCGAAGATCGCAGAGTACAAGAAGTACATCGACAACGTCCCAATTCTGACGAGCCTGCTGACCGAGGAGAAGGAGGTCGTCGCGAAGGCCCTCGTGGAGATGCACTTCTGCAAGGACGAGCTGATCATCCAGCAGGGGGAGCAGGGCAACACGTTCTATCCAAAGGGCACCGGGCCACCACGCCCGGCCCCCCACCCGTTCGAGGTGGCGCAGTCAGGGATGGTCTAGGCCTCCTCCTCCTCCTCCTCCTCCTCCTCCTCCTCCTCCTCCTCCTCCGCCCCGAGGGGGCCGGAGGATCGCGCGGCATCGCCGATGCATCGCCGATGCATCTGCGATGCCTCGGCGACGCGGCTCGATGTGGGGCACGAATCTCTCCACGCCGTCGTCGCCGACGTCGCCGCCGACGTCGCCAGAGAACGGGCCCCCCAGCGCGCTCCTGGAGGCTCCCAACATCGGGGGTGGACAGACCTCCTACCCTGACACGCCGATTAAGGAATTGGCCGTTTTCGGTTCGCGAGAGGGCGTCGCGGCCGTCATTTTTGCGGGTCCAGGTCCGTCGATGTCGGTCCCAGGCCGCTTTCACTAAGGGGAGGTGTACTAAAGGGAGGTTTGTCCACCGCCGACAATAGATGGAGAAGACGCCCCCCACGAGGCTCCAGAGATGTCCCCAAGAGGCCCCAAGAGGTCCCCACGAGGGGTGACGAGGCGACCGGGGAAATCCAGCCGCGAACCGGGACATTCGGTCCCGAGCGGGGAGTTGTTTTCCAGTCGGAAGGGGGACATTTCCCCCCGCGAGCGGGGAAGTGCTCGGGGGCGTCCGGGACACTTTTCCGGTCGAGCGGGGAATTCTGTCCAGCTCAGCGAGAATTTTCTTTTTGGCCGGCGTTGGATGCAGGGTGCCCTGGGCATGAAACCGCTGGATGCAGGCTATTCCGCGCGCTTCTCAGGAGGGAAGAAAACACACAGACACAATGAATCGTCGACTCCCAGGAAAATACGGGAAACTATGGGAGTTGGGCGGGAAGACAAAAACCCCGAAAATAGGAAAAAATATGGGGGATCTTTTTATTTGTGTGTATTTATTTGTGTGTCCTGGGGCCCCTCCAGGCTGGGCCGTCTTCGGGCCATGCGGAGCCGTCCCTGGGGCCGTTTTGGGGACCCCGTGGGCCATCCTGAGGCTGCTTTAGGCCGTCGTGGGGCCATCTTGGGCTCTGCTTGGGTCGTCGTGACCTGCCGGAAGCCCGAGAGGGCGAGGCATCATGACCCCGTCGAAACCAGAAGGAAACCTACGTACTTGGCCTCTTGGACGCTATTCGGGGATCTTCGTGGAGGCCTTCGGGGAATCTTTTTATTTGTGTGTATTTCTTTGTGTGTCGAGGGGGGAGGAGGAGGAGGAGGAGGAGGAGGAGGAGGAGGGAGGAGGAGGAGAGAGGAGGAGGAGAGGGAGGAGGAGGAGGAGGAGGAGGCGAAGGAGGGGAGGAGGAGGAGGAGGAGAGGAGGAGAGGAGGAGGAGGAGGGGCCCCTTCAGCTTCGGCCGAGGCCCCCCGTCGTCGCCGCCGCTCGCGTGCCGCACGCCCGCCTGCGCTCGCCGGCGCTCGCTCTCTGCGCCGCCTGGTGGGTTTGTCGGGCGTAGCGTTCGCTGGACCAACGGCCACTCCAGATTTCGTAATACAAGGGAGGAGGAAGAAAACGAGGAGGACGAGAATGGAGGGAAGGAGGAGGAGGAGGAGCATGAGGAGGAGCATGAGGAGGAGGAGGAGGAGGAGGAGGAGGAGGAGGAGGGGGAGGGGGAGGAGGAGGAGGGGGACCAACGGCTACTCCAGATTTCGTAATAGAAGGGATCACAACGATCACAACGATCACAACGATCAACGATGACAACGATAACAACGAGGAGAGCCCGTCGACACATCTGCGGCCCTCCCGTCTTCTCCTCCCCCCTCCGCCTTCCTGCGCCCTCTCTCCCCTCCTCCTCCTCCCTGGTCGGGAGGGGCCGCCCATGTCTCGACGGGCCCTCCTCCGATTGTGTGGAGGAGGACGGCGGCGACGAGGACGAGGACGGGAAGGGTACTCCAGGTTTCGCAATAAAAGGGAGGGGGTCGATCGGGCGCCGTGACAGAATTTGCTGACTAAAATAGGGCTAGGATCGGGATAAATCGCTCCAGAGCGTTCCGGAGCGCTCTCAGAGCGTTCCGGAACGCTCTGGAGCGGCCGCGGCGCCCAATACATCCTCCAAACCCCGCCGATTCTCAGAGATTTCGAGTTATCCCGATCCGTTTTACTGACCCCTTCGGGGTCTCCGCGGCGTGCCTCCCCACACCCATCCTGAGGAGCAACGACAGGCGAGACCGGCTCAGGGGGGAAACATCGACCCGGAATCGGCGATGCATCACCGATGGATCGGCGGTAGGCCCGCGAGAGCAGATCCGGACGCTCATGGGCGGGGTGGGGCCATCGGGCCCCTACCGACGATGAATGGGCGATGGGGGGTCGATGCATCCCCCCTGAGCCTACTCCAGATTTCGTAATAAAAGGGAGGGGGTCTGGACCCTCCAAGACAAGCCATTTCAGACCCCCCCCCCGTGGGAGAACCCTCCAAAACATCGTCCCCAGACCCCCCAGGCCCTCCAAGATAGCCTGGAAGAGACCCCCCCCCGAAACGAGGCCCCCCTCCCTTTCTTACGAAATCTGGAGTACTGTCCGAGGCGGGATGTTTTCTACATGACCACCGCCTGGAGGGTCCGTTTTGGGGACCTCGGCAGGCGGTGGATATGGATATACTCGGACCCCCGGGCGTAGCGTTCGCTGGACCAACGGCCACTCCAGATTTCGTAATAAAAGGGAGGGGGTCTGGACCCTCCAAGACAAGCCATTTCAGACCCCCCCCCGTGGGAGAACCCTCCAAATCATCGTCCCCAGACCCTCCCATGCCCTCCAAGATAGCCTGGAAGAGACCCCCCCCCGAAATGAGACCCCCCTCCCTTTCTTACGAAATCTGGAGTACTGTCCGAGGCGGGGATGTTTTCTACATGACCACCGCCTGGAGGGTCCGTTTTGGGGACCTCGGCAGGCGGTGGATATGGATATACTCGGACCCCCGGGGGCCAATACACATATATATATATATATATATATGTGTGTGTGTGTGTGTGTTTGTGTGTGTATTCACCGCCCGCTGGGACACCAGGACGTCGGTTGGGATCCCAGGCGGTGGATATGGATAACTCCCCGCCTCGCAAATTACCCAGAAGTTGAAAACTCGGGGTGGCCGAGGGTTTTTGGGGAACGGGGAGTTTTCAAAATCGGGGCAGGCGCGTGTTCTTCAGGAGTTCGCTTTGCATTGTTATGTGGTCGCTGTTGCCCGGAACAGGAAGGTTTGAAGGCTGGACAGAGGGTGGAGAGAAACGATTACGTTTGCAGGGCTCGTTGTATTTCGCGGGATTGTGTGCTCCGTTCCGTGGATTTTTTGGGGAATTTTCCAGCCAGAATTTGCCATTCCAGCGTCCGTAGGTTTCCTCGACCGACGGCTTTTGTGGTCATGTGATGGTTTGTTCCTTGGCGTAGCGTTTACCGCCCTTCAATCGAAAATTCGGGATGGCGAGCTCTCTTCGGCAAAATGGAGGAAATTCCACAAATGGAGGCAGACGCGCGTTGCTCGGGCGCTCGCTTTGCATTACTACGTAGTCGTTGTGTATAGGAACAGGGGGCGGCAGAGCTTGGAGAAGGGGTCTCGAAAAACGTCAACTTTTACAGAAATTGTTGTTTTGTTGTTCGCGGGCGTTCGGGTTTCGTTCCGTGGTGCGTGGAGGTTTCCAGCACGAGTTTTCCGGCCCAGCGTCCGGCAGTTTCCTCAGTCGGCGGCATTTGCAATCGCATGATGGGTTGTTATTTTGCGGCGCGCTCGCCGATCCACCAGCGTTTCCCTAAGTTTACAAGTTGGTGTTGCCGAGAGCTCTTCGGGAAACAAGGAGGTGTTTTCAAACATAAGGCAGGGGTGCGTTATGCAGGCAGTCGCTTTGCATCCTCATGTAGTCGGCGTGTTTTGGAAGAGGGAGGTTCGAAGGTTTAGCTGGGCCTCGAACGATTGCGTTTACAAGGCGCGTTGTACGTCGCGGGCGCTCGACTTTCGCCGCGTGGTGAACTGAGTCTTCCACCAGGCGTTTCGTATTCCAGCGACCGTAGGCTTCCTAGTTCGACGGCTCTTGAAATCATGCGGTGGCTTATTATTTGGCGTAGCGTTCGCCCGATCAACCGTCACCGCGGCCACCCGACGGGGTGGGTCACCATGACGGAGCTCACCGCGAGGGGGGGGGGCGCACGGTTGCGGGGGGGGGCACCGTGACGGGAAATTTCACGGTGGCGGGGGCTCATTGTGACAGGCGGGTCACCAAGACAGTGGGGCCACCGTGATTTGGAAGGTAGCTGGGTTTCGGCGGCATTGATGAGATGAGGGCCCTTTCGAAGGTGTTCAGTTTTCAGTGGTGTATGGAGGCTTCCAACGGGGGGTTCTCGTTCCAGCGTCTGTAAATGTCCTCGCTGGGCGGGGGAAGCTTGTCCACCCGCCTGCAAGTTCGGCCAAACATTGTCCCGCTCGCCCGAAATAGGTTTTCGCTCGGTCTGCGTTTTTCTTCCTTCACCGTGCACACTTTCCCCGCTTACCCGTCGAATGCTCTTCGCACGACCGACTCGGCCCCCACGAGGGACAAAAAATAGGCTGGGCCTCTTCGGCCGTCCTGGGGCCGTCTTGGGCGGAGCGCTTTTTGGGGGCGGCTCGCGGCCATCGTGGGCCCTCGCGGGCAGTGTTTTGGGCCCGTCTGGCCCGTGTGGGAGCCTTCAGGCTCCGGGCGAGAGAACTATGCACATGCACCGATCCTGGCAAGGCCCATCCTTGACCCAGGATCGGTGCATATGCCTTCCTGGCCAAGGTAGGAGGGCGTATGCACCGATCCTGGCCTCAGGGTGGGCCTGGCCAGAATCGGTGTATGTGCATAGTTCTCTTTCCTCTAAGGCTCCTGGAAAGTGCGGGGCCGCCAGAAAATTTGACTTTGGGGCTCCGTGCCACGAATTCGATGCCCACGATACTGAGCACAGCGCACGGGGAATCTTAAACAGCTTGGGGAACGCTCAACTTCGTGCCTCGGGGCACGGTCGTGGATATTCACATCATATGTACACATAAGAATACGCATAGTTACGTACATAAATTATATATTGCACTTGAGAAAACCCCAGAACCGCCCCAAGACCGCCGAAGAGGCCCACAACAGAGCTCCAAGAAGGCCCCAGAGAGCCCGAAAATTGCCCGGGAGGAACCTCCGACAGCACAGGAGAGCCCCAGGACAGGCCTAAGCTGGGCCACAGAGCGGGAGCGGGAGGCCCCAAGGCGTTCCAAGACAGCCCAGATGGCCCCAACGTGGCCCCAGATGGACCCAACACGGCCAATACACAGCCCAAGAGCCCTCCAAGTGAGCCCAAGAGAGCTTGGACAGGCGTCCCGAGAGAGCCCGAAGAAGCCCATATCCTTGATCTGGTCGTTGCTTTCAATGTTTTTCGTTTTCTCGCGTTCTCGGGCTTCCAACGCGCCAAGACGGCCCACGACGCCCCGAAGATCGCCTCAAGACCGCCGAAGAGGCCCCCAAACAAAACCCAAAACGTCCCAGATAGAATGCCCAAGAGCAGCCCAAGATTGCCCAAGAGAATCGCAGGAGAGGCACAAGATGGGTCCCAGAGCGGGAGCGGGAGGCCCCAAGGAACTCCAGGACGGCCCAGATGATCCCGACGTGGCCCAAGACGGCAAACACACAGCCCAAGGGGCCCCCAAGAGGGCCCAAGAGAGCTCCGAGAGACGTCCCGAGAGATCCCCAAATGGCCCAGATCATTGATTTGCACCGGTTTTTTCAATGTTTTTCGCTTTCTCGCGTTCTCGAGCTTCCACTGCCCGAAGACGGCTGCAAACGCCCCCCAAACCGCCCCAAGACCGCCAGAAAGGCACCCAAAAGAGCCCCAAGACGGTGCCAAGGAGCTTGCAAATTGCCCACGAGGAGCCCCAGACGGCCCAACAGGCCCCAGGACAGGCCCAAGATGGGCCACAGAGCGGGAGCGGGAGGCCCCAGGGCGCTCGAAGGCGGCCCAGATGGCCTGGGCCTCCCCCCTCCGTCCCTCCTTCCCTCCCGCCCCCTCCCCTTGCCTCCATTCCCTCCTTTCTCTTGTTCCTCCCCTCACCCCTCAGCTTTCGGTCTCCTCCCTCTTCCCCTGGGACGGCCCCGCCAGAGCGCCAGACAGGCCCCGCCAGAGCGAGCGGGGCATCGCTATACCCTATCATTTCACAAATTGCTTTGCCCCTCCCACCCCTCAAGGGCGGCCCCGGCAGAGCGAGAAGGGCGTTGCTATACCATCTACAGTCCCTGTTTTGTCTTGCTCCTCCCACCGCACCTGAGGTAGCCCCGTCAGAGCGCACGGGGTGTGGCTATGCCAAAATTTTCCTAAGGTTTCGGGGTTCTCCCCCCCCTCCTCGGCAAACCCCGCCAGAGCGCCAGGGACCCCCCCGCCAGAGAAAACAGGGCATCTTTTCACCATACTTTCACGCGATTCTTGCTCCTCCGACCCTTGCAGGGCGGGCCCGCCCGAGCGAGCGGGGTGTGGCTGTACTATACAATTTCGCAGGTGTCGTGCCCCTCTATCACCTTTTGTAAAGGCATCGCTAGAGCGCAAAGAAGGTACTGCCAGAGGCCCCGTCAGAGCTCCAGACAGCCCCATACATGGGGCTTGCCAGGCAAATCATTGAGCATCCCCCGTGAGCCCGAACCTTCTGCTCCCACTGGTGCGATTGTCGCCGGCATGAGCTTTCGCGTCCAGCACATAGAAGCTTCCTCTGTCCCGTGGACGGATTCGACAACAACTGATTGCACAGAAGGTCACTGATAGCCAGGACGTATGCGCGTGCCCTCTTGCAGATACCCGACAGCTGAAAGACCGCTGAAAACGAGAAGCTTGGACCACAAGGAGGAGGAAACAAACACAACTCGCCCCCACGCGCGCGCAACGAGGCCCCGAAACAGCCCCAACATCAGGAGCAGGCGGATGTCTGCGTGATCGGACATGGGAAGACCGAACACATGTGCAAAAACATTGAGTGTCATGGCGGGGCAGATCAGAAACGAAAGTGGAGAAAAAAACGCAGTTCAATGAACCAAACAAGGGGGCAGCGAGATTGTGAGATACACGGGGACGAGGCGCCCCGCGTTCTGACTACGCGTTTCTTTGCGTCGATGGCATGGGCCCGAGAACATCGGTAACCGTCGTTGTGGCCACAGCGGGGCTTACAACGGCACTCGTGGCTCATCTGCGAGTAGAGCCACGCGCGCGCCAAACGCGCGCGTGGTTCTAGTATATATGTGTGTGTGTGTGCATCCACGCGCGTGTACAGATTTACACACACATACACGTATCCAAGCACATCTGCATATGAAGCACTGCCGGCTTCCCTCATTATGTATCAGGGTGTCGGGCGCACAACAAAGGCACTGGGCCTCCAGTCTGTTCCAAAAACCACGACGTTTCAACGCCCGCGTCCCGAAATTCCAGAGCGTTCCCAGGGGGCAGAGGTATTGCGAGAGAAGGATCGTCCTTTCTCGAGGATTCCAGGGCCCAAAACGAGGTCGCAACCGGAGGGCCCCAAAAGGGGGGGCATCGGCGGACATCCTCTACGAGGGCGCCGTCGACATTGTCAAGGATGGCAAGACGATGACGAACCTGCAAGCGAGCGTCAAGAGGGACACGGTGCCGCCGGGAGGGAGCTGTGATGGTCGCGTCCCTAGGATTCACAGGTCGTCAGTTATCAGTTTTCCGCAGGAGGAGGAGGAGGAACTGAGGGTGAGGAGGAGGAGGAGGAAGATGAGGAAGAGGCGAAAGAGGAGGAGGAGGAGGATGAGGAGGTATTGTTTCAAAGTGAACGGGGCCCAACAGTCATCCACTGTCCGTGGGTGCGTGAGTGAATTGGGGTTCTGTTGTGCGGATTGTTGTTGCGTTGTTGTGTTGCGTTGTTGTCTTTGTCTTCGCCCGCGACCCACCCGCAGGAGCAAGAGCAGGAGCACGAGGAGGAAATGAAAGAGGCAGGGTGTCAACAGCAGTGCGTCTGTGGTCGGGGGGATTGGCGCAGGGAGGGAAGAGGAGGACAAGGACGAAGAATGCGCACAGAGCAGGTGGCCGTGAGGAGCCAGCAGCTTGGAGCAGGATGAGGCGGAGGAGGGGAAGGAGGAGGAGAAGGAGGAGGAGGAGGAGGAGGAGGAGGAGGAGGAAGAGTGTGGTGGGCAAGAGGCGCAGTACTTCGGTGAGCGGGCGCTGCTCGAGGCGGAGGCCCGCGCGGCCTCCGTGAAGGTCACGACCGAGACCGCCAAGACGCTGGTCCCCCCCGTGGGCCAGGACGACGACGACGACGACGATGACGACAACGACGACGACGACGATTCGGAGGATGCTAACTAAGTCTTTGCGGAGTAAGTCCGCACGGAGTGCTCAGCCTCCGTCTGGGCATATTCCGTCTGGACCTAGTCTCTCTTGAACTCACCACCCATCAAGCCACCAACCCAACCCCAAGGCCCCAATTTGCCGTCCATTCCGGGTAGGGGGGACCGTCGGGGAACAGCGAAAAGCACATGTGGAACCCGTACCTTCCCAACCCGAATTTTGGGTCTTCGGGTTGGGCTGGGGTGGTCTGGTAGGTAGTCATGATCGACGACGATCACCCCACGACGGCTTCCCAGTGGCCAGACGGTGGCGGCCACCCCATCACGACAGTTGCCCGACTCGGCGAGGACGGGGAGCGCGCTCCACAGTAGGTGCCAGCTGGGCATCACTCTTGCCGGCACCCTTCGGGCAGCGGCGAAGTGCTCTAACGTATTTAAATTAGGAGGAGCGACACTGATACGGAAACAGTGGGTACAAAGACCGACAGATTTTTTCGTTACCTAACAGCGAAGAATGATAGGTTTCTAATGGTCTTAAAAGAAAGCATCATGACTCTTCAGGGGGGTCTGGGCAGGATCCGGGGAGAATCCGCGGAAGTCGTTTCAAGCAAACAGTTACACACTTCGTGGTCTTCGAGGTCCCAGAACTCCATTCCCGGGCCACATTCTGAATGCCCGGGGCCAACTGTAGGCCACTTCGTGCTCTTCGAGTTCCCAGAACTCCATTCCCGGGCCATATTTTGAATGCCCGGAGCCAACTGTAGGCCACTTCGTGCTCTTCGAGTTCCCAGAACTCCATTCCCGGGCCACATTTTGAATGCCCGGAGCCAACTGTAGGCCACTTCGTGGTCTTCGAGTTCCCAGAACTCCATTCCTGGGCATGATTTTGAATGCCCGGAGCCAACTGTAGGCCACTTCGTGTTCTTCGAGTTCCCAGAACTCCATTCCCCTCTGCTGAAGGCTGAGGCTGAGGCAGGCTGAGGCTGCATTTGAGGCTGAGGCTGAGGCTGAGGCTGAGGCTGAGGCTGAGGCTGAGGCAGGCTGAGGCTGAGGCTGAGGCAGGCTGAGGCTGAGGCTGAGGCAGGCTGAGGCTGAGGCTGAGGCAGGCTGAGGCTGAGGCTGAGGCTGATGCAGGCTGAGGCTGAGGCTGAAGGCTGAGGCTGCAGGCTGAGGCTGAGGCTGAGGCAGGCTGAGGCTGAGGCCGAGGCTGAAGGCAGACTGAGGCTGAGGCTGAAGAGGCTGAGGCTGAGGCTGAGGCTGAGGCTGAGGCAGGCTGATGCTGAGGCAGGCTGAGGCTGAGGCTGAGGCTGATGCAGGCTGAGGCTGAGGCTGAGGCTGAGGCTGAGGCCGAGGCTGAAGGCAGACTGAGGCTGAGGCTGAAGCAGGCTGAGGCTGAGGCTGAGGCAGGCTGAGGCTGAGGCTGAGGCAGGCTGAGGCTGAGGCTGAGGCTGATGCAGGCTGAGGCTGAGGCAGGCTGAGGCTGAGGCCGAGGCTGAAGGCAGACTGAGGCTGAGGCTGAAGCAGGCTGAGGCTGAGGCTGAGGCAGGCTGAGGCTGAGGCTGGCAGGCTGATGCTGAGGCAGGCTGAGGCTGAGGCTGAGGCTGATGCAGGCTGAGGCTGAGGCAGGCTGAGGCTGAGGCCGAGGCTGAAGGCAGACTGAGGCTGAGGCTGGCTGAGGCTGAGGCTGAGGCAGGCTGAGGCTGAGGCTGAGGCAGGCTGAGGCTGAGGCAGGCTGAGGCTGAGGCTGAGGCTGATGCAGGCTGAGGCTGAGGCAGGCTGAGGCTGAGGCCGAGGCTGAAGGCAGACTGAGGCTGAGGCTGAAGCAGGCTGAGGCTGAGGCTGAGGCTGAGGCTGAGGCTGAGGCTGAGGCTGAGACAGGCTGATGCTGAGGCAGGCTGAGGCTGAGGCTGAGGCTGATGCAGGCTGAGGCTGAGGCAGGCTGAGGCCGAGGCCGAGGCCGACGGCAGACTGAGGCTGAGGCTGAAGCAGGCTGAGGTTGAGGCAGAGGCATGCTGAGGCTGAGGCTGAGGCAGGCTGATGCTGAGGCAGGCTGAGGCTGAGGCAGGCTGAGGCTGAGGTTGAGGCTGATGCAGGGTGAGGCTGAGGCCGAGGCTGAAGGCAAACTGATGCTGAGGCTGAAGCAGGCTGAGGCTGAGGCTGAGGACGGCTGAGGCTGAGGTAGGCTGAGGCTGAGACAGGCTGAGGCTGAGGCAGGCTGAGGCTGCGGCTGTGACTGCGACTGCCGTTGCCACTGCGACTGTCATCGCGAATGCGACTACGACTGCGAGAACAGCAGAATTCTGTCGCTACGGGCGTTGCCCATTTGAGACAACAGGCAGCCTGCCCGACAGCGGCCGCAGTCGGGTTTGAACAGCAGTGGTTGTCTAGTATCGTACCCAGTCTCCCCACATCCAAAGTGGGGTTGTTGTGTTTTCGCACACACACACACCGCGCATGATCTCCTCCTCCCCTCCTCCCCCCTCGCTCTTCCTCGCTCACACACCCACGCACTCCCTCTCATCATCATCATCATCATCATCATCATCATCATCATCATCATCATCATCATCATCATCATCATCATCATCATCATCATCAGCATCAGCATCATCATCATCAGCATCAGCATCTGTATCGCCACCATCGCCACCATCACCACCATCACCACACACACCATTATCAGTATCATCATCATCAACACCATCATAACATCGTCATCATCATTACCACTACTAATAGCATCATCAACATTACCTCATAAGCATTTGCATCAGCATTAGCATCATCATCAATGTCACGATCATTGACATCACCATCACCACCACCACAATCAACATCATCAGCAGCAGCATCAGCATCATCACCACCCCACTCACAATCACGCATTCATTCGCACTCACCCATACCCACACACTCATCGTCATCGTCATAATCATCATCATCATCGTCATCATCATCATAATCATCATCATCATATCATCGTCATCATCAGCATCATCATCATCATCATCATCATCATCGCTCCTCATCGCTATACACACTCACATGCTCACCGCGAGGGAAGTCTCAAGCTGGAGCCCCCTCTCTGTGGGGCCCGCACTTGGTGTTCGAACCCGAGCGGGTCATCGTCAAACATTTACCAGGCTGCGCACTTTAGCACCCCAAGGGGGCCAATCTTGAGGATGTCTCGAGCGGGGGCCTCGCTTGTGAGTGAATTGCGTGGAAGTCTCAGGCGGAAGCCCCGCCCTATGGGGCCCGCATTTCATGTTCGAGTCCACGCGGGTCATTGGCAAACATTTATTTAACATGGCAATTAAGCACCCTAAGCGGGCAAATCGTGAGGGCGTCTCGAGCGGGGGCCTGGTTTGTGAGTGAATTGCGTGGGAAATTCCGGCGGGAGCCCCCATCCCTATGGGGCTCGCAATTCATGTTCGAATTCGAGCGGGGGTCATCGGCAAACATTTACAACGCATCGCACTTCAGCAACCCAAGGGGGCCGATCTCGAGGATGTCTCGAGTGGGGTCTCTTTTTGGAGTGGACTGCGTGGAAGTTTCAGGCGGGAGCCCCCTCCCTATGGGGCCCGCACGTCATGTTCGTACAGTGCCGTTTTTACTACATGCTCCGCGTGCGGACCATGTATATAAAACATGCAGGGATTTAGCATTAGAATCAACGATGAGTTTATGCAGAAAATTATTCCTGAATTGATCATGTATTAGTAATCCTATATCTTTAAACATCCGATGTATTAAAAACTGCCCTGTAGTCCGAGCGGGCCGTCGGCAAACTCTGCCAAGGCATTGCTTTTGAGCACCCCAAGGGCGGCACGTCGTGAGGCTGTCCCGGGGAGCGAATTGCAGGGGCACCTCAGGCTGTCGCCCCCTGCCCTATGCTTATGTCGGGCGTGGCGCCCCCTGCCCTATGCTTAATGTCGGGCGTGTCCCCCTACAGGGGGATCGTCGACGAAAAATAAAAAGTACCCCAACAAATACCCCAAAAGAGTCGAAACATGCTCAAAACATAGTCCCCAGACTATTTTTGGAGTGTTTTTGGATTGTTCGGGTGGCATTTCTTATGTTGCGTCGAAAATCCCCCTGTATGGGGGACAGGCCCGACTTAGCCCTGTGGGGCCCGATTTTCGTGTTGGCAATCGGAGCGGGTCATCGGCACACATTTACCAGGCATACAGTCGGGGCGATGAAGATTGAACTCTTTCCGTTTGGGAGGGGCTCTGTGCTCCCTGGTTGTTGTACGGTTTGCCCTTGGTTTGCCTTCGGTGTCCTCGATCAGAGGTCGAAGGTCCGCCTGAAGAGAAGAGGGGCCCCGCTCCTCATTTGTCGTTTCTTTGGCCAACGCCCCGACTGTGGCACTTGAGCACCCCGAAGGGGGCAACGCGTGAGGATGTCTCAGGCGGGTCCCTCCCTCGCCGTGGCGCCCAAAGGGCGCCCTCCTCCCCCTCCTCCTCCTCCTCCTCCTCCTCCTCCTCCTCCTCCTCCTCCTCCTCCTCCTCCTCCTCCCCCTCCTCCTCCTCCTCCTCCTCCTCGCCGTGGCGCCCAAAGGCGGGAGCCCCCGAGACCTGCAAGAGGCCCCCGGGAGGCCCCCCGAGAGGCCTCCCGAGGCGCCCGCGGCAGGCTCCCGCAGCCGGAAGGAGACGCCCCGGAGCCGCCCCCGGGAGACTGCCGCGAGGCCAGCCTCTCCCATCATCCCTACTTCCTCCCTTCCCAGACCCCCTGGAGTAATGAAAAAATCATGGCGGGAGGTTTTTCCTGATTTTCGGCCTCCGGGGGCCCTCGCCGGGCCTCGGGAGCGTCAAAAAACGACTCAGGATGCAAAGCCGGTCATGGGGAAAGGGTCGGGACCTATGGGG